GCTTCCGCCCAATACTCCCCTCCCAAGCCGGCGTCCTCTAGCAAGGCCCGTGCCCTTTCCTCAAGGGTTCGGTTCAACCGCTCCGCCGACCCGTTTTGTTCGGGAGAGTGCCCCGCCGTAGTGCGTTGCACCGTTCCTTTCTTGCCGAGAAAAGCCGTCATCTTCTCGTTGACGTCCTCCCCCCCGCGGTCCGTTTGAACCGACTTGACCTTCTTCCCGGATTGCAACTCCAACCGGGCAAACACCCTCTCCGTGGCCTCCGTCACCTCGCTCTTCTTCTTCAACGGTTGCACCACCGAGAGCTTGGTGTAGTCGTCTAGGAAAGTGGCCAACCACCTACACCCCCCGGGCGACGCCACCGGCATGGGCCCGCACACATCCATGTGCACGAGCTCGAGGGGTTCCGTGCTCTCCTTGGAGTCCGACTCCCTAGGAAACGACTCCCGGGTTTGCTTCCCCATGATGTAAGGTTCACACACCAAGGGTTTCTTCTCCCGAAACGCCTCGGCTTTCACCCCCACACCCCGGACTAGGTCTCCCTCGACCATCTTAGCCAAACCCTCATACCCGGCGTGCCCAAGCCGCCGGTGCCACAACTCCGCGGTCTCGGCCTCCCTCACAAGCATGCACGCGTCCACATCGGGCTCCGCTTCACACACCTCAAACAAGCCCAACCCTTGCTCCGCACGGAAGATGATCTCACCGTTCAAGAAGCCTTGGCACACGTCTCGCTTGAACCCAAGCACCACGCCGACGTCGGTAGCCCTCGTCACCGAGAAGAGGTTGTCAACCACGCCGGGAACATACAACACATCAAGAAGAGTGTTGACCCTCACGCCCGTTGGCGTTAGACACCGCAACTCGACCGTCCCCTCTCCGGCTACGTCCACATACGTACCGTTTGCTATCCGAATCCTCCGCGATCCGGTTTCTAGCATCTTGAGGGTTGTGAACTTCCCCTTGTCCCCGCTCATGTGTTGGGTGGCCCCCGAGTTTAGAACCCACTTCCCCGTCCCGGCCCCTACTCCGTCTCCCGCCATGAGGCGGCCCCGCGGTTGGACCCCGATCCCCCTCCCTTGGGGCAATCCTTGAGGATGTGGTCGGTGCTTCCGCAACCGTAGCACTCGCGGCCTTTCCGGAACTTTGGCTTTCCGGACTCCTTTGACCCTTGAGGCCCTTGAGCCCCCTTCTTGCACTCCCGCTCGAAGTGCCCCAACTCACCACACTTGTGGCAAGCCATCGAAGCCTTTCTCCCCTTGCCCTTGCCCCCTCCGTTACCGGCTCTAGCGGCATATGCCACCCCGGCCCCGGCTCCGCTGCCCTCCTCCGACTCAACGGAGTTCTTCAGCATTTGCTCATGCTG